GGGAAAGAGGCTCCTCTTTCTTAAAGATGTAGTAACATTTTTGTGTGCATTGTAGTGATGTGGAATGAAAACTAGCACCACATCATCCAATAGCAAACTGGGTTGCTTTTTCAGTTACAAAAACAGAAAAACAGGGTCAGCAACAGGTAGAGTAGGGTTTCTAGTAATTCAAGTCACCTTCCAAATACGCGGAAAACTCTGTAAACTAACCAAAGGACCCAAAGTCTCAATAAGGACTGAGCATGCTCCAGCAGGTACAAATACTGAGGGCAGCTGAACCAACTAAAAGGGGGGGGGGAACCCCTGAGAATCATGTATGGAGACATTCGGGTATGGAGAGGAAATTTCCAAATCTTATTCCTCCCCCCCACCCCATTTCTCAAGGTTCTCCAACTTCTCTGTAGCATATCTGAATGTAATATATACTGGCTGTATATGCTCCATCAGTAGGACATAAGGAACTTTTATGACCTGGAATTACAGTAGTTTATTTCTACTTTTGAAGATCACCAGTTATCTGGTGATAACCCAATGGGAACCTAAAGTGGCTTACATCATTCTCCTCTCCATTCTATCATCACAAGAACCCTGTGAGGTAGGCTAGGCTGAGAGTGTGTGGCTGGCCCAAGCTCACCCAGCAACCTTCCACTGGAAAGAGAGGGAATTTGAACATGGGTTTCCCAGATCCTAGTCCAAGTCCAATACTACATCATGCTGGCAGGGGTAACTCATCAGAGAATAGAGCTGGGAGATTCAAAGCTGGCCAGCAGCTTCAGAGTGATTGTGGGAGTTCCAGGGCCCAAATTGGAAGGCATGGGAAAATCCTGGCCCAGGTGAGACAAACCACCTCCACCCTAGGCTATTTGTAGTGGAAGCTAAGGCTCTCTGTTTGTGGCAGGCATAACTCGGAAAATAATGCTACATGTTTGAAATTTTGAAAACCTGCCCCCCCCCCCCCCCCCGAATGATTATGGAAGATGCAGTGCCAAACATGAAGGGAACTGGCACACCCTGAACCAGGTTATCCTCACAACAGGCAACATGTAATAACAGACCTACTGCACAGGGTTGTTGTTAGGATAATATGGATAACAGGAGAACAATACAGCTTTGGATCCCCACTGGGGAGAAAGACTGGGTATGGTATTTGTTATAGAACGAAATTTTAATGATATTAAAAAGATAACATTATTTGTCATATAGCAAAGTGGCCTTTACAAAGGGCCATTAGACCTTCCACCAACACAATAATATCAACTCAGTGCCTGAACTGGGAGTTCTAACTTCTGTTCCACATGTATAACCACTAAAATGGATTCATGTTCCATTACCATGCATGTAAACGGTGTGTGTGTGGGGATGCATCCTTTTACTACTTTGTTAGATCATAGGGTAATACAAACTCCCCCTCCCCTTCTGTTCATAATATTAAAAGTTTGCAACTGCACTACTATTAAGTACATTCTATTGTCAAGCAGGATAGGGGCGAGAAGGACCTGAGACTATGAATATGAAAATAAATGGGGGAGGGACACAGAAAAATCAGGTGGCGGGAGAGAGAAATGAATGAGAAAAGGGTGGAAAAGAGGGAGAGAAATTAAGGAAAATTAATATCTTGCTGCAACACCCTAGCTATCTCTTTGCAAGATCTGGCTGAGCTGGGTGCAAGGAAAGGAAGAAAAAAAGACTAGGCTCTTATAGAAAGTGACCTTGTTTGCATACTGTAGCAGCCGAAAATGTGCTGTCTTGTCTGCATCAGTGCTGGTCTTTTCCTGAAGAGTGTGTTTGGACCTGCTTGCTGTTGATCCTGACACCTGGTTGATGGGCTTAGCTAGAGCTACAATATATTGAAAAGGGAAAACGAGAATATATTCCCCCACTGACTACGTGAAACAAGTGATCACTGACAAATCTCATTTTAAATACTCCTACTATTTAAGCGGTGATAATTGCTACTAAGTAGGAATACTCTTAGCCTTCCAACCCCAAAACAGGACATTTTAGTCAGCTTTTTAAAAAGAGCCCCAAAGAAGACATCTAGTAACCCTACTTTAGAACCTACAGCGGTCGCGCTCCACCCCCACTTTATGAGATGGAGTCACATCCCCTACGGAATCTCGACTCCCCCTAGCGACTAATTGGTTGAAGCTTTCAACCGCCTTCTTTCCCCCTTCCTTGTGATTTGGTTCAGTCCACACGCTCCTCACGGAAAAGATGGCGGCGCCCACAAGCAGCGATGCGGCATGGAATCGGGTGGATGTTCCGTGGCCCGCTTGTAGCGGTACGGTAGCCGTGTCAGGCCAACATTCCTCAGGTGAGGGGTGTGTGTGTGTGTGTGTGTGTGTGTGTGTGTGTGTGTGTGTGTGTGTGTGTTACAAGCTCTTAAGTTTGCTTTTAAAGTTAGACTCGTGTAGGAGTGCTTTCGTTCAAGCACTGGATACATCACGTGCTGTGTTTCTAGCTTGAACTCTTTCGAATGTAGCTGAGTAGCAGTATATATTTCAGGAATTTAGGACTTGTGCCCTGGGCAAAGTTAAGCATGCTTAAGAACAGAGATGTATGGTGAGCGTTACAACTCTGTATGCATTTACTCGAAAGAGTGCTCCTCCGCCAATTTCAGTGTGATTTATTTCCAAGTGGACACATGCATAGGATTGCACTGCATCTCTCTTCAGTTAAAAGCCTTGAATTCTGAAAATGAGTTTTAAAGGATTATGTGTATCTCATCTGTTAATTTTCAAAATGAGGATTAAGAAAAGAAATTGCTGACTTTCAAGTGGATTTGAACTTCCAGGAATTATGGGAGCAAGTTGAGGGGGGCTTAAAAGGTGTTTAATGGAGTCTGAGCTGCACTTTTTGTGATAATTATTTTGTTGAACTGGATTGTTGCACAGTGGCATACAAATGTCTTACTATGTTTTTGTTTTTTAGTGAAATGCCTTTCATCTGTTATGGGGAGGTGTCATGTGGTCAACAACCTTCTAAAAAATAAAGCTGTGCTTGCAGAAGGAAAAACCTTGCATGCCATCCTGTATAGTTTCCACTATCAAATGAGGCATCATAGGCCGTATTGGTCTCTCAGACAGGTGAGAAAATAGAAATAGCCTCAGAATTTATGTAGACATGATGATTAGAAGAACTCTTCAGTTTGAACTTCTGGTTGTCAGTCACCACTTTGCAGCTTACGACCCACAATCTAAAGAGCTGTTTCTCCCCATATGTCCCCCTGTGCCAACTGCAGTTTTGGTTGCCACTTTCAAGTTGTTCTCCCACTTAATGTGAGCAGCTTGGCAGACTAGGGCCCATTCCTTGTGCATAGTAGCTCTCAGCTTGTGGAACAGGCTCCCTGAGGAGGGCACTAACTTTAGAAGTTAGTCGGGGCTGTTATAAGGGCATTTTGTAGGCAACAGCTTTTAATTGGCTTCATGTTACAAGCATTTTCTTGGGGAGGGGTATAAATGGGTTTTTACTGTATCTTGTTCATTTATAATGTTTGGAATTATAACCTACCTTGAGGCACAAGGAAAATAAATAAATGTACCAGGGATGAAGAAGATAATCTATGAACTGTAGGTTTGGGTTGATGGCCATGTTAGTCTTTAGTGTCCAGGTGGGTAGCCATGTTGGTCTGAAGTAGTAGGATAATGTTTGAGTCCAGTGGCACCTTTAAGATCATCAAAGTTTTATTCAAGGTATGAGCTTTCGTGTTCTTCAGATACAGTGAAGATATCTGAAGAAATAAGCAGTGACTCATGAAAGCTCATACCACGCCACAGATTTTGTTAGTCTTCAAGGTGCTACTGGACTCTTGCTCTTTTCTGTTGCTTACAGAGAGACTAACATGCAGGGCTGGCCTGCTTACTAGGTGAGCTAGTCTCTCGCCTAGAGCACGGAGCCATCATGGTGGCGCTGGACTGAGCCACCCGAGGGCCCTGCTGCCGCCGCCAGCCCGCCTGCGCCTGCCGGAGCCGCCCCAGTGTGAGCAGCCAGGTGCCCGGGGAGGAGGGAGGCGCTCTGCAGTAGGGGGGATGTGCTTGGGGCGGGGGGCAGAGCAGGAGCTACGTGCGGCGGGGAGAAGCAGCCGCTGCCAGGCAGGGGGCCGCCTTCCTGGGAGGTGAGTCCCGGGGGGGGGGAGCCTGCCTCAGTCCCAGACGGGCCGACTGCGCGCCTTGAGGTCCGGGCCGCCACCTAGCTGTTTGCTTTTGACTCGACCCGCCACCACTGGCAGCAGCAGGAGGTGAGCCAGGCAGAGGCACCGAGGCAGCCGCATCCGCATCCAGGAGTCAGCTAGCCGGGCAGAGAGGAGCGCCCCGAGCACAGGGAGGAGGACAAGGCGTGGCAGCGAGAGGAGGGGAGGGACCCCGCCCAGCCACTCTTCCACAAGGACAGGGGAGGGTTTGGACGGGGGGGTGACCGCAGTCATCTCCCTCCCTCCGGCATTTCTTGCCTTGTTCCTGTGTG